TATAAGAAGATTGCCACAAAACCACTTAAGCAGACATACCAGAAAGTGATCAAGGCAATACATTTTAGAACTGATGCAAGGATTATTGCTTCTTAAACCCTGCACAATTAAATCACAGAATTCACTGAAATATCATATTAGAGGTACCTAAAAGGTGTCAAAGTTAGAAATTAACATTAGCTAGACATAAGAATGCTAATAACTCTAAAATTTACAACAGTTAAATATGCTTCTAGGTAATTTAAACATTAATTGCAGGGGTAGGAGATAGAGAAGCTTTCTTAGCAAATAATGAAAACAGTATATTTTAAAGCTGTCTTACCTTACTGTAAATATGGTGCTAGCCAATATCAGAAGCAGAGCATTGCACAGTGCTGTTTGGCACACTTGGTCAGCTGATCCTAACGAATATGAACAAATCTGTCATTTTAAAAGGCTAGAGAATGTAAAACATCTGTAGTTTACATGAGTCACTGAACTAGACCCACTGAGAAGATGGTCATTTTTTGTGGGATGTTTTCCAAACAATTCTGGATATATATATATGAAAATTAGGATGACTGCATATTAATACAGTTATACTGGCTGAGAATACTCACTCTTCTAAATAGAACTGTGAAAGCAAGCTAGACTGTTAGGGGCATCGCCTCCCTTTCCTTAGTTGTCTGCGTAAATGTTCTCTGATGAAATATCACTGTCTCAGAAATCTGAGCATTCTAGGCAGTTTCACTGGCTAACTGTAAAAGTGACATCTCAAATATCTTCACAAGTTTCTGATAAATAACCATCATAAGAATCCTCTAAAACTGCAACTATCAGTTGAATTGTTATAAATGTTGGGAATCTTCAGGGCCTAAAGAAGAGGATGTGTAGAAACGTTTAAAATATATCTGATTAAAAATTTGAAGGACTGGTTCTGAGCAGCAGGAAATCCTGGGTGCTAAATTGAGGTATAAGGAACTAGCATTTCATAAAGTAACTACAAAGGATTTTTCAAAGGGGAAACAGAGAATGGGTGTTCCAGGTAGTTAGAAGTCCTCCACTGCTTAGAGTTAGAAAGCTCTTGCCTCAGTCAGCATCAGCCTCTTTAAAGGTCACCTCTGCTGACGATGATAAGTTTGATACCAATAAATGCTCTTTAAATAAAAAAGAACAACCACTAAGCTTTCTGAAATGCTTTCATACCATCCATGCTGTATGAACTAAGCACTTAATCGATATATTTGAGCATTTGTCCAAAACACAAGGCAAGCACTTCTTGTAATACTGCATCTATGCAATATAAATTTCTTTGCTATTGAGAACATTCCTCTTCAGCAGAAATGGAAAAATTAAGTTGTTTGAAAGAAAAATACAAGCATGTTTTCTAGATTTGTTGTTTGTTTTCCCTGCTCTCCTTTCTACAGTTCAGTCATGTTTGAGGCAAACTTCCATCACTGGAAAATTGATTTAAATGTTGTTGCTAGATGCTTCAGCTATGGGTCAGGAGCCGTACCTGGCTTTGGAAACAACAAGAGAAGGAGGTGATTAAGTTGGTGACATTAGAATGAAGTAAACTAGTATGTTATTTTGGTGAATTATTCCTAAGTAATTCTCTATTTGGTTAATGTCATGTACATGTCTGAACTACTTAATGGGGCACTCTGCATAAAACCCAACCTAGCCAGATCCACAACCAGTACAGCAGCAATAATATAGTGATGAGGTGCACCCTGTCATCAGGGCTTCGTCTGGAATCTCCACCCAACAGCGCTCAGCTCTGTAATCTTTGCAGTGCAACGTACTGCACAGGAAAAATCATGGCAATTCCAGCTTTGCAGTAGTAAGGAAAAACTCCCAGAACTGCCACGTGGCTTTCCCACATTGTGTGGGTTGTTTTGGTAGACAAGAAGCAGGCATTCCCTGTTCTGAGCTATGCCATATGCACAGCAAGGGACATTCCTCTTCCTCTCAGGCAGATGCTGTATCTGTGGCAGCAAATTGTTCCTGCACCACAGGGTCTGAGCACAGGAGGTTCCTCACAGCACTGCGCTAAAGAGCAGTCCTCTCTCCTACAAAACTAGTGGCAGTGATTCTGCAAGTTCAGACTGGCAGGGACCAACCCAGAAATACCACTGTACCCACTGTAAAATAGTTCCTTTGAACTAAAGCAGTGCTGATGCTCAGGATAAGGGCTGGAGAAAAACAGTAGTGAGAAAGTGGGAAAAATATAGACAATAAAAAAAAAAAAAAAAAAAGAAGGCAATGCGCAGAAATGACTGATAGGTGAAAGGTGATATCTGATAACTTTAGAATTCCATTTACTGTTTTTTTTTTTTTAGAGTAAAAATGATAAACTGAAGAAGAAAGAAAGTTAATTTTCTTACTGAATTCCTGTATGAGCAATTAGGCTGTTACATTCTCAGACAAGAATAATGTCATGCCTACCACAATGGTTTATGGAATGTAAGAAGCAGGATAGATGTATAAAACACGAGGGATTTCCTAAGCACTTTTTCTCCTCTGTACCACAGTTGATTGCTTTCATCATTTGTGCTAGTGCAACTGGTCAAGGAGGCTGGCACACAGGTGTGAGGGAAAACTGTGAGCAGCCAAGCACAGAAACTTCTTGTGTTCCAACCCACCAAAACCAGCATGACTTATGGGATAGCGTATATTCTGCTGATCTAAATGTAATACAGGAATGAGGCCTAAATAAATAAATAAATAAATAAATCAGGTTTATGAAAACAATGATTATTTGCTGTTATCCTTACTGAGCACATGACTGCTTTTTTCAGCTATTATACTAATAAATATTTTATAGTGTACTTTAAACAAAAAGGTGATGCCTTAGAGGGACAACGTTTTAGTCTGTCAATACGCATGCGACAAACTTTGTTTTATTGCTTTGCTGGATTTCTGTTCCAATTTTTTATTTTACTTTTTTAAGAGAGAAATTCTCCATGAGTTTTAGTTGTGGTATTCTCCCCTAATGCAGCATTGGAATAGTTATGCCACAAACACTGTATAAGAATATTCTGTCAGCCAATGGAAAACTTAATCTTTTCACTTTGGTCTTTAAGTTTTACAGTAATTTTTGTTTTACTTTTTGTTTTGAGAAATATTTACTTGAATAACATCATGCCTTGCTGTCTATATAGAATTCAAATGGAATTATATGTTTCAATGGATTTCTGAACAGTTCCGTTCTTGAAGACTCATATGCAAGGTCCAAGCTTTTGCAGTCATCTGACTTCTGTTAAATGTAGAGAAGTGTAATGATATAAAAGTTCTAGTATGGAAAGTACCACTCACCGTTATGTTCAACCTTATACAACTTCTCTGTACGGAAAACTTAGTTTCAGATAGCTTAGTCAAGATTCTGCCTAAGATAATCTGCTAAGTAAACTGCTTTTAATGTTTATGTGCATGAGATCAGTTTCCCTATCTTGAACAAATTTCATCCTAGATAAGGTGAGAAGTCCTGCACCCTTTGGGCCTTATATGTCTTGGGACGTATTGGCACTTTGTGTTGAAAGCAGTAGGAATGAGGGTGGCTCTGGGAAACTGGAAGTTCTGAAATACCATATGTTTGGACATGCAGTCTGTGTGGTTCATGTCTTATTATATGTATCCCTTTCACTCAGTCATCTAAATCATGAGTCATACCAACTGAAAGCGGAAGGTGTACGCCTGGATATTTGCAGAGATTTGTTGTATGGCTTCTGCAGCCCTTGCTTTCTGCCCTTTCCCATTTAAGAACTTTGAATCTCCGCTAGCAGGCATCTATTACCTCAGCAACAATGTAGCTATGATGGTTAAAGCCTAATCTCCTCCTGGTAAGCCTTTGCAAGTCCCCTGTAAGTCCAGCTTCCACCTACTGCTAAAAGCCGAGCCATCTTTGTTTTGTTTAACTGGGAAGGAGCAAGAAAGCCCCACCAACTACGGGCTTAGTACAATAAATATGGAAAAATGCTTGTTACGTGTGAGACTGCTGGGATGCCTTGCAATGCATAGGTCAGTTAAAAGCTAAAAGCAGGCACAGACATGCAGACAGCTTCCAAGCCCAGAAAGCTAAATTAGATCTGCACAGACGGGCTTTTGGAGCTCAAATAGCAGGTCTGCTTCTTGGATCTGACTGCAAGCTCAGGCCACAACCGTCTGCTGATTTCACCACAGCCTCACATGAATCTGAAATGCAGTTTGTGTGAAGGAAATGCACGGTTGTGAAAAGCAAAAAGCTTACGTACACGTGTATGAAACTAGCCCTTCTATGACTGTGACAGAATTCACGCTGTAGAACTGGGATTTCAGTGATGGGTGCAGCACAGGAACAAACAGCAGAGAAGACAGACAGCCAAACTGCCGCCATTAAGCAGGTACGCTACTTGCGCATATTTTCCTTCTCTCTAAGGCACCACCGCCACTCTTGCGGCGTAACTGCTTTTGCGAATACGGGTGCTGCACTGCGGCGATGGCACAGCTCAACCGAACTTCCTCCCTCCTCCTCCCACTTGGACGTTAAGCCCTCCCCCTTCCTGCATTGTGATTGGTCAGGCAGGCGGAGACCTTCGCGGCGATTGGAAGCGGCTGGCGGGAGGTGGGGTAGGTTGCGTGAACGTAATAAAGTTAGTGGGGCTGCCTCGGTGCGCGCTAGACGCGGCGGCGAGTCGGCTCTCTATGGAGGTGGCGGAGGGCAGCGTCGGGCGGTTGCTGCTTCTGCAGTAGTGACTCGGAGACTCGCCCTGCCCCGCGCGCTCCCCCCTTCCCCTCCCCAGCCCCGGTCCCCGGCTCCCTTCCCCTCCCTCCCCTTCTCTTGCCTCTTCCCCTGCCCTTGGTAGCCGCCGGGACCCGGGGAAGCGGACAAGGCCTTAGGGAAGGTGAGCAATTCGGGTGTGGCGGGAGAGCGGTTGGGGCCTGGAACGGAGCGGATACCGCTGCAGCCGCCGCGTAAAATGGCGGCTGGCTGAGTGGCCGCCATTTTCTCGTCGGCTTCTTCTCGCTTTCTCTCGCACAAAATGGCGGCCGGAGCCGGTGGCGGCTCTCGCTGCCCGCACCGCGGGTACTGAGCGGAGAGGCGGAGGCGTTGGGCGGACGCCGCCGGGTGGGGTAGAGAAGCCGAGCGGATCCGTTTTGAGATCAGAGCCGCTTTTCCGCTGTGCTGGAGGCTGGAGCGGGCGGCGCCGGTTCGTAGCTCGGCACCGTTGGGGCTCGGAGCCGGCGGGTCTGGGGCTGCTCCTGTGAATGTGCGGTGCTGGGGTGGGGCGGAGAGTTGTTGGTCCTCCTGGGGCTGGAGGAGGGAGCGCGGAGGCAGATTTGCGGCTTCTGCTTGGATTTCTTTGCTATTTCTGCTTTTTTTCCGTTTAATTTTTTTTCTTCGCTTCTCGTGGGAGAGCGAGCTGGCTCCGAGGAGCCGTTGCTGGGCCGGGCCGGGGGCAGACGTGCAGGAGAAGCCGGCCGCTCTCCGTTTTCCCGTCCGTGCCGGAGAACAAAGAGCCGGCCGGGCCCTGGCGGCGCCTCAGCCTGGAAGCGGGCGGCGCCCGGCGCGGTGGGGGAAGGGCGGCGCGGCCGGAGCGCGGCTCCATGCGGCAGGGCGGCGTCCGCCTCCGCCGGGGGGCGCCCTCGCGCCGCGCCGCCCCCGCAGCCCTTTTGTTCGGCGGCGGCGGCCATGTTGGCGGCCCGCGCTCCGCCCGCCGGGCCGGGATGGCGGTGCGGGCAGTACGGGGACGGGTGCGCGGCCTCGTGCTGCGCTGCCTCGCCCGATCTGGGGTAGACTGCGTTATTTTTCACGCGCTCTTGCTTTGATCCCTAAGTAAGTGCATCATCTTTCTGTTAGGGAATATTTTCCCGATTGTCTTTCAGATTAGATTTGAGGCAGAGAGCAGCGGTTTTTTTCCTTTTCAGTAGCTTTATTGGCCGTGTGGATTTAGACGCGGAAGATGGCCTTTTTGCTATTTTGGGTGATCTTGGAGCCCTTGTTGGAGCATTTGCTTTCTCACCGTCTGTGATTTTTGTCACAGCACTGCTGGAAATGTGGCTGCGGTGACGGGACTAGGCTTCCTGGGGTGGGAGGTGTTGCGAGATACGATGGTTGCTAGTAAAAACACTTATAATATGAACGCTCGATTTGTCTTTCTAGGTTTTGTTTTTCCCCACCCCGTCAATTTAATTTTATTCTTTTGAAGATTCTTCGTTGTCAAGCCGCCAAAGTGGAGAGTGCGATTGCAGAAGGGGGTGCTTCTCGTTTCAGGTACTGGTGCTGGTTTGGTTGACTGAACGTGTGGCAGTGTACCAGTCCTTTGGGGGGGGAATTAATGTTTTCCCAAAGTACTAGTAATACTAGTTCCCGAGTTACTAGTTTCCCAAGTCACTTCAGTAATGCCAAAGTGTCACTGAAAATAATGGTGTTTTGAATTCAGGCAAACTACGTGATTGTGTTTTAACAGTGCTTCTTCAGGCGGAGGAGGTGGTAGGGGTGCACCTCAGCACTATCCCAAGACTGCCAGCAACAGGTATGTCATCATATTCCTTGGATTAGCATCTTACTTCAAAGGCATGGGATGTGTGATGGTGAATAGAGTTGGAAGTAGTCTACCTTCAAATTTATACAAGAAGTATTATAGAGTTTGTGATGTGTTAATATCCATTATCTGTGGCAGGGTAGTATATAACGTATTAGAATTGTGCCTCGTGTCATGTGAGGAGGACAGAGCACTTCTGTGCTTTTCATGTAAAAGGTTTAGAGGAAGGGTTTTAGTGTTGAGAGTGGTCTTGATTTTAAAATTGTTTAATGACTATTTGCAGGTACTGTCATGCTGGTAGGATAAGCATATGCTTCCAGCAAAATTAAACATAGTATTAGTTTGTGTAAAATAATTCTGGAAAGACGGTTCTTGAAATTGTTCTTCAAAATTCTACAGCGAGTTCCTGGGGAAAACCCCAGGGCAAAACGCTCAGAAATGGATTCCTTCACGAAGCACTAGACGAGATGACGACTCCGCAAACGACAAAGAACGACATGATGCAATCTTCAGGAAAGTAAGAGGGTAAGTTTTCCAGAAGGTGCTTTTCCATGTTATTATGTTTAGCAATATTTTGATTAAATGAGCCTGCAGAAGAGGAAGATACGCGTACTTCTTGGGTTCCTTAGGGTGGTGAGGAGGTTTGTTTAGAAGGAATGAGGCAGAAACAAATGAGGCATACAGCAAGTGTTTGCTGCGGCAAAGAAGCAAACTTGCTGAGAAGCAAGCTTTCTGAAAGAGTTAATACTGGTAGTCAGTATTTTCATTCTAAAAGTTACATAATAAATAAAAATCTGATCTGACTTGAAAATTGGATTTTCATTTTCTGCCTTAAAGACTAACTCGTAAAGGTAAACTTAAATCTAAAATTACTCAACAAGCTTAGAAGATTTGTAATCTGAATTTTTTGTTTTGCTTGTTCCTCTTTAGCATACTAAATAAGCTTACTCCTGAAAAGTTCGACAAGCTATGCCTTGAGCTCCTCAATGTGGGTGTAGAGTCTAAGCTCATCCTTAAAGGGGTCATACTGCTGGTAAGCTGGTGGTGGTTTGTGGGTTGTTTTTGTTAGGGGGGAAGGAAGGGGGGGATTTCTTGTTAATTTTTAATCTACTACTTCTTTGCATCATAAGTATAAAAAGGTTGGTTGTTGCTGATTAGAGAGAGAAATAGTGTGGTTTATCTGGTGTTTATTACTAACCCTGACGTAAAGGAGTGTCGTCCCTTTTTGTATGAAAGGGATATGCTGGAGAGAGAGTAGATTTAGCCCTGTAAAATTAAATTTGAGATGTTAGTTACCAGTGTTCATTCTGTCCCACACCTCCCTACGCCTACTTCTTCGCATCCCACTGCTCAACAAGCCTTTACTGTCTGGGAAGAACTACCACAGGTAGTCTTTGGTGTACTAGATGCAACCAACAGATGGTTCTTAAATCTGAAATGGGCTTTAGTGTTCTGATGAGGAAATTCAGATTTGTCCCTTTCGTTAGTTTGGAATTATGGAAGCTTTTTGTGTAGCATAGTATCCGTTTTGCATCAGTATTAAGCAGCATGTGTTAAACAAACGGTAATAGTGGATTTTATTTCATGTAGTGGCAAGGAATCTAAATCGTGTTCTAAATCATGTAGAATGGTAGTCTTGTATTTCTTAATACATATGCATCTTACCACAAGCTGTCTTACTGAAAATAACTCGTTTTAGATCGTAGACAAAGCCCTTGAAGAGCCCAAGTATAGCTCACTGTATGCTCAACTATGTCTGCGACTGGCAGAAGATGCACCCAATTTTGATGGCCCATCTGCAGAGAGTCATCCAGGACAGAAGCAAAGCACAGTGAGTATTTCACTGCAGAATGGTAAATTTTGGTAATGCGTGCAGTTATGTGTTGAATTTGTAGCACCTTCCTTTTTTTTTTTTTTTATTGTAGACATTCAGACGCCTCCTAATATCTAAACTTCAAGATGAATTTGAAAACAGAACCAGAAATGTTGATAGTAAGTTTTGAAATTTAATTAAATTTCAATACAGAATTTAATACAGAATTTACTACTTTTTTTTTATTCTCACAGCCACCTTTAACAGGATTTTTTGTTTTTCAGTCTATGATAAGCATGATGGTCCCCTCCTCCCTGAGGAGGAGGAACAGAGAGCCATTGCCAAGATCAAGATGCTGGGGAACATCAAATTCATTGGAGAACTTGGCAAGCTTGACCTTATTCATGAATCTATCCTTCATAAGTGCATCAAAACAGTGAGTATATGGATTAGGTGTGGGCTAAGAACGAACAAGTATTTCTAAACTTAAAGTGTTCATGAAGTTTTAGGAGTTTTTGACTGTAAAAATGTTTCCTGTCAAGTAGAAATATCACTGTTTGAAATAAATAGTTGTGTGGTCTGATTAAAAAGGAAAACTGGTTTCATTTAAAGCTGTGGGAATTGTCTCAAAGTAAAGATGTAGTGTGGCCTAGATGCAATTACCACAGATAGCTCAAAGTACATACATAGCAAGAGCTTAAATGAGTAATAAGTGCTTCAATTAGCAGTTATTAATAATGTGATACATTTCTGCATGTCGTGCTGTACGCTGTTGTTAGAAATTATCTGTATTATGCTGAAAGAACTATTCTGCTTCTAATATTTCAGCTTTTGGAAAAGAAGAAGAGAGTCCAACTCAAAGATATGGGGGAGGATTTGGAGTGCCTCTGTCAGATAATGAGGACAGTGGGACCTAGATTAGACCATGCAAAAGCCAAGGTATGTGCATCTGCTGTGATCTTCAGAAGTAGCTTAAAATCCATGCCTAAAACTCTGAAACTTCAGCCATTCTGTGCTTCTACTCAAAAGAACAAAACAAAATGTAATATCGCCTGGAGCAAAGAGTGCTGACTATTGCTCATAATAAAAGCTCTTGATAGTGGAAGGAGGCAGTCTTTCAGGTGGCTTTCAAGGTCTTCCCAGAAGAGGCAGTTATTACTAGTCCTATAAGTGAGAATGTCATTTTCTAAATGCTTCTTAAACACACGTTGATACTGATTTGTATTATCACTTTTGTTCTCTCAGTCCTTAATGGATCAGTACTTTGCCCGTATGCGCTCCTTGATGTCAAGTAAGGAATTGCCAGCAAGGATTCGTTTCCTGCTGCAGGTACGGTACTGAAATAGTCTACTACTGTTTTGTTTTGTTCCCCTCCTCCCGCCCCCCCCTCCCCCACACACACACACAAAGTTGACTTCACTCCTTCCTTATTTATGTTCCAAGGATACTGTGGAGTTGAGAGAACACAACTGGGTTCCTCGCAAAGCTTTTCTTGACAATGGACCAAAGACTATCAATCAAATCCGTCAAGATGCGGTAAAAGTAAGTATTTGATATTAAGTCTTGTGCTTCCCTTCTGATTAAATGCTGATGGGAATCCTTACACTGTTTAGTCACAAAACTCATCTTCTGTATGTATAAGTCTATCTGATAGTGTGGCAGTAAGGTGTTGATGAGGGTTGAAAGCATGTAGACTTGTAGTTTAAAAAACTTAGTAGTTTAAAAACTTGATTAAGGACCATTATTATAAAATAACCAGAATGGTAATTCCTCTTTTAAAGGATCTAGGAGTTTTTATTCCCGCTCCTATGTCTCAAGTGATGAGAAGCGACTTCTTTCTGGAGGGACCCTTTATGCCACCCAGGATGAAACTTGACAGGGACCCACTCGGAGGGCTTGCTGATATGTTTGGACAAATGCCAGGTATGCTGAAACTGTGAGGCTGATGTGATGATTGCAGCTGTACTGTGTTAAATACAATGAGATAACATACTGCCTTCTGTTTTCTGATAATGTAGGTAGTGGAATTGGTACTGGTCCAGGAGTTATTCAGGATAGATTTTCACCCACTATGGGACGCCATCGTTCAAACCAACTTTTCAATGGCCATGGGGGTCACCTCATGCCTTCTGCTCAACCCCAGTTTGGAGAACTAGGCAAATCTTTTCTGAAAAGTCAGGTAAGGAAAAGATGGCTTGAGAATGGTTAGAAGCTCTACTACAGATGCATATGTTATGGATTATAGTGTATTTGTGTTGGAAGGCTTTCTCAGGTTTGATTCTGATTAGAGTTCATGCTCGGTTGGCAAAAAAACTTTCTAAATAGTCTCTTAAAATGATGGAAAAGATAAGGAATACGCTTGTTTTTTTGTTTGTTTTGTTTTTACTGCAGGGAAAGGTGCATGTGGCTTTGGTGGGTCAGAATGGTGCATTTTTTTATTTGAAAGATAGGCCTGTTTTGGGTTTTTTTGTTTGTTTTCTGGGTTTTTTTGTTTGTTTGTTTTTTAGGAATAGGTGCTGCTCTCCCACCACCCCTGCTCCTTCTTTTTCCCTTCCTCACAAATAGAATCTTTTTTCCTCTGGTCCCTCTGGTACTACTTACCATATGATGTACGCCACTCCATCATCTGCACTTTCTCTATATCTCCCTTTCTGAAATAGGGGCAAAGCCAGCTCTACCATAACCAGAATCAGGGACTCTTATCCCAGCAACAAGGACAGTCGAAGGATATGCCACCTCGGTTTTCTAAGAAAGGACAGCTTAATGCAGATGAGGTATATTACATGCCTACATTACTTAAAGCCTGTACTCAATATTGCCCAGTGATTATAGCAAGACGCGTTATTATGAGGACTTATGCTGGATCTCTTCCTACTTTCTTCCTCCTCCTACTTTGCCCCTTCCTCTTTCACCTTATTCCTCACTTTCCCTAGGGTATCCAGCGTCCTGTGAGCAAGACTGAGATATGAGGGCAATTTCTTGTGATGTTCCTTCCTTCCCTTCCCACACATCCCCAAGAGCACTACTCTGACATCAGTTCCGTGCGTCATATTGATAACAGCATGTTTTAATGGAAACTCTAGGAGATCCTAGTACTCAAAAAATCTAGAAGCCCTAGAAGAATACTCAAAGAATCTAGAAGTGCTGGACCAGGCTATTATTTTTTATTTTTTTTTCTTCCTGAACTAGGTGTTAGGCAAAGTGTCAAGCACAAAGTAAGCTGCAGTATTATTTAGAGGAAAAAAAAAAGGTGTCCTTCTGAGCAGTTGGTGAAGTTTCATCATAGTTGGAAATCCTGTCTGCAAGCATGCTAAGTATCTTCTTAGGTCTCTTAACATACTGCATCTGAAATGAGCAATTCCAGATCTTGGTACAATGTTACTAAAAACCAGTAACTTTCAGCAAGCTGTGATTTGCTGAGTCATGCTTTTGGGGGCATGCTTTTGGGTACTGCATTTTTTTGCAATACCAGCGTGACTTAATCTGACTTTTTACACTGTAGGAACTGAAAATTAAAGTTTATGTGGGATGGGTTGGTGCAAGTCCATTTCTGTGTAATTGTGGTCAAAGTAATTGAAATAGTTTGAGGTTTTTCTGATTATTTACAGATAAGCCTGAGACCTGCTCAGGCTTTTCTAATGAATAAAAACCAAGTGCCAAAGCTTCAGCCCCAGATAACTATGATTCCTCCCAGTGCTCAACCACCACGCACTCAGACGCCACCTTTGGGACAGGTAAATATCAAAGTTACTGTGTGCTGTTGACCAAGTTTTCTTTGTACTGAATTCTTGCATGTGGGACTTCAGCCTGTTTCTAGTAAGAGAGGGAAAGGTTTTTTTTTTTTTGTAGCACATAGCAGAAGATATGAAAGCATATCTGAGGATGTAATTTGACTTTAACCTGCTTAGTAAATACTGGAAGTTGATAAAAGTTTGGAAACAACACTGTAGGTAGGTGTACTTCAAAGGAGTAACTTCTGGTACTGTCTTTCAGCCTCCTCAACTTGGTCTTAAAACAAATCCACCACTTATACAAGAAAAGCCTGCAAAGACCACCAAGAAGCCACCTCCTTCTAAAGAAGAGCTACTTAAACAAACGGTATGTTAATTATATTGCAGTGCTTCTTTAAAAATGCTTCTAAAAATGTAAGTTTAACCATCCACTGTCTTTCACTAGGAAGCTGTTGTGACTGATTATCTGAATAATGGCAATGCTAATGATGCTGTCAATGCTGTGAGAGAAATGAGAGCTCCAAAACACTTCATTCCTGAGATGCTGAGCAAAGTAATCAGTCAGTCCCTCGATCGATCAGATGAAGACAAAGAGAAAGCAAGTACTTTGATCAGCTTACTCAAACAGGAGGGAATAGCCACGAGTGACAACTTCATGCAGGTACTGCAGTCTGATATTCATTGTGCTTGGCTGCTGGTGATGTCTAGTTTGGATACAGACAGCAAATCTTATTTTGTCTTGTTGATGTGAGGAGGTAGAAGTACACACTTGCGAGAGAATGTACTAAGTGATGAGGGAAGAAATGTAGGTTTGGGATTTTTTGGTGGCAGGAAAGCTCTAGGCAAGTAATTCGGTGGGAGGTTTAAAAAAAAAAAAAAAAAGGGGCTTTTATTTAGTGACTGTATTACTGTATGCAAGAACAAAATCTCAGTGTCTCATCTTGTTACTGTTTTGTAGGCATTCCTGAATGTATTGGACCAGTGCCCCAAACTGGAGGTGGACATCCCATTGGTGAAATCCTATTTAGCACAGTTTGCAGCCCGTGCCATTATTTCAGAACTGGTGAGCATTTCCGAACTGGCTCAACCACTGGAAAGTGGCACCCATTTCCCTCTGTTCCTGCTTTGCCTTCAGCAGTTAGCTAAGTTGCAAGATCGTGAATGGCTAACAGAATTGTTCCAACAAAGCAAAGTGAATATGCAGAAAATGTTACCAGGTAAGAGTCTGTTCAGATATTTCATATTGGTACATGAGATGGTACAAAACACACAAAAACCAGTTAATATAGTTACTTCAGTGAGGTCAATTGTACCATCCTCACTAAGGATCATGACTTCTAATAGGTATCAGTGAGTACCAGCTCTTAAGTGTGTCTTCCTTGCTTTTCAGAAATTGATCAGAACAAGGACCGCATGCTGGAGATCTTAGAAGGGAAAGGGCTTAGCTTCTTATTCCCACTTCTGAAACTGGAGAAGGAACTGCTAAAGCAAATAAAATCGGATCCATCCCCACAAGCCATCTATAAATGGATTAAAGATAACATTTCACCCAAGCTTCATGTAGATAAAGGATTTGTGAATATATTGATGACCAGGTGAGGTGGTTTCTTGTGGTGATTCAGGCACGTGCCTTGTCAAGCAACCAGTAGGTACTTAACTATGTGGAGACTGGCATGTACCTTTGCATAAGATGGTACATGCTAAGGTAGAGATGAAAGTTGTTTTAGCTGGACTTGCTCTCTTTCAGTGTCCAGTATCTGTTTGCATCAGTTGTGTTTTACTTCGGGATGAGAAACAGAGAACTAATAGCTCTGTTCAAAGAATGTTTCAGAGCCTTAACTTGCATAAGTAGGATTTTGTAGTGGACGGTAAAATATAACACGTGCACCTTCATGTGTGCTTAAATTAGTGAGCAGACAACTCAATAATTGTAGACCATAAAATCTCATTGCTGTGAGTTGGAGTTCACAGAACTAACCTTTCTGTCTCTGGTCCAGTTTCTTGCAGTATATTTCAAGTGAAGTAAACCCACCTAGTGACGAATCAGATTCTTCGTCTGCTCCATCAAAAGAGCAACTAGAGCAGGAAAAACAACTGCTTCTTTCCTTCAAGCCAGTAATGCAGAAGTTTCTCCATGACCATGTTGATCTGCAAGTGAGTGCTTTATATGCGCTCCAGGTGCACTGCTACAACAGTAACTTTCCAAAAGGTATGTGTGTAATCTTACCCCAACCTCAGCTTGCTTGTGTATGAATTTGAGGTTCACTGTATCTCTTCAGTCAGATAACCCGTTTGGAAGCTTATAAAGCTAAGAGTTTTAATTGTGTGCTTCCTTTCAAAGGCATGTTACTGCGCTTCTTTGTTCATTTCTATGATATGGAGATCATTGAAGAAGAAGCCTTTTTGGCATGGAAAGAAGATATTACTCAAGAGTTTCCAGGAAAAGGCAAAGCTTTATTCCAGGTAAACTTGATAATGGCTCTGTCTCTTGTCATGCTCCAGCAGAGAAGGGATTACTTGGAGAAACATAAGGAGTTATCCACTAGGGAGGAACGAGGGGAGATGAAATGAGTGTAGAGTACAGCGAAAACACTTGGAACAACTTTGGGAAAAAGCGTTCTGCAGATGTGGGTAAATAATTCCTGTTGCTTAAACCAGTTTTATGTAACTGCAGGTAAACCAGTGGCTAACCTGGCTGGAAACTGCTGAAGAAGAAGAATCTGAAGAAGAAGCTGACTAAAGAACCAGCCAAAGCCTTAAATTGTGCAAACATACTGTTGCTATGATGTAACTGCATTTGACCTAACCACTGCGAAAATTCATTCCGCTGTAATGTTTCACAATATTTAATGCAGATGTGTGTCAGTAGGATATCTTCTGCAAAAGGTTTTTGTAGTATGTCTTAATAGTCTACAATAAAAATATTTTAGAGTATCTTTAATGTTTAGATAACAGTGTATTAGCAGCATGCAATAATTACATCATAAGTTCTCGAGCAGAAGCAGTCTGTTGCAAGGGTCTTCTTTGCTGCCAGTTAACATAGGCTGTTTTTAAGTTAGAAAACTGAATAGCAACACTGAATACTGTAGAAACGCACTTTGCTCAGTGTAATACTTGAGTTGTTGCAATATTTGATTATCCATTTGGTTGTTACGGAGAATCCTTAACTGTAATCGATGGTTGTTGCCGTAATAGTATATTGCCTGTATTTCTACCTCTAGTCATGGGCTTTATGTGCTAGGTTTTAATATCCTTGAGCCTGGGCAAGTGCACAAGTCTTTTTTTTTTTTTTTTTAAAGAAACAGTTTACTTGCACAAAAACTGATCAGCTGGACAGATGATTTAATGCCCTTTGGAAGAGGTTTTTGTGGGTGTGAAACATGGTGAGAAATTTGAATTGGTCCCTCTATTATAGTATTGAAAGTAAGTCTACTTAACTTATCAAGACATGTTCATGCCCTGATTTTATATACTTGTATCTATCAATAAACATTGTGATACTTGACTTGTTTTTGAATGTGTCCCAGCAGAAGGGCTTTGACTGACAAGTAGTTTACTTTCTGAATAGAACATCAGTAGGAGTTTACTTAGACTGTGGAAACATCTTAGGATTCTTTTTATAGAAGGTCTGTCTCAATTTGTTCGTGAATTCTCAGTAAGATCACAGGTCAGAGCAGGCACTGATTTGCTATGTCAGGAGGATAATTAACAGATACCTGCTGAAGGAATAGGTATGACCTTGCCTTGTGATTCAGTGAGTAATCTGCCTTTTTTCTTCTGATGCTTGGTGCTTTCTCTCAAGTTCCCTTATTTTTAATGAAGTGGCACTGACTAATCCACTGTTTCTCAAGTAATGAAATCAGAAACAACAACATGTCAGCTTAAAATGTCATCTATTAAATGCTCAAAAAACTTTGCTTTCTAAAACTTCCTTCCGAGTGAAATTTTTTCATCAGTGGTGGTTTTTTGTTTTTTGTGGGGTTTTTTTGTGTTTTTTTTTTTTTTTTTTTTTTGCTAGCTTACAGAGGTGATGTTTGTAGTAGCAAAAGTTTTCTTGATGGAGTCTTGTTTTTGCTAGTGCTGGAAGTGCTTCAGACTGTGTCTTTCACATGGTAGATGAAAATGTTGCAAAAGAAAAAAGATTTGAGATCCTGATAAAATTTACTTTGAGGGAAGAGTAGTTTGCATTTAAGTGTGTTAAAAGGCTGTGACTAGTTAAATGGGTGTGGTTCTTGCATTGCTGGCACTCTGTTATCTAGGGCAGGCTTCCTGACCTGCAGTTGAAAGCAGTGTACTTTGACACGAGACTTTTTCATTGGATTTCTAACGTGGTAGTCCAGATCACCTCCGTTAGGAAAGGGGTATTTAAACTTTTAGAGTTGCTAGCAAGTATTTTGACTACCCGTACCACTTCCTGTCTGTATTTGAGTATAGTGGTGCAGCTAGCAGTAACTTGTGGATTTCTAGATCAAGTAAGAGAAAACAAAGGTATGTTAAAGCAGCTTGAGGTGGGGGAAGTGGCTGCTTCAGTTGCTGTAGTTGCAGCTTCTGAGGGTGGTGGTAGTTCCATCATGGGCCCTCCAAATGCATTCTTCCAGTCATAGTTTTCATAAATTAAAGCCATTCTGCGTTTCATCACAGAGGAATATAGTTGGTGCTTAAGGAGCTGCAGTGTTCAACTTTGCTTTTTGTTATCAGATAAGCGCTCCAGAAATGTTCGCATCCTACATAGTAAGGTTCAGCAGTCAAACAAAAACTGCCATCTTTTGTTATTTCATGTCTAAACAGTCATTTCAGCTGATCAGTTTGGTGATGTGTTCCCCTACAATACTGTTTCTTAAAGTTCACATGTAGTTTCCTTGAATACCCAATGCAATTCCTTCCAGTGCTGTGAAGCTGCCAGTCACAAAAGCACAGTTCTAACTGGTGATTTTCAATTGCGTGTACCATAGCGGTGAGACAAAGAAGAGCAATTATAAGAAGAGGTGCAAGTAAAACAATTCCTGATCAAAAAAGAACCAGACTGCCAACTAACTAACCAGTTTTTTGGAGGAGGTTAAACTGGCAGCTGTAGGTTGAGTAGCATGAATAAGCCTTGTATTCTTGCCCAGTCTTCACTCTAATCGCTACCATCATATATACTTGTGCATGGAGGCTTTGCTGCTTTGCTTTTTTTTCCTTTCTGTAACTAGCTAGATCAGGTAAAATCACTTCTGCTACTCTGTTAGTGAAGAGTGAACTGTTAAGAACTACGCCTACCAACTATATTCCATATTTTCAAATGCTTATACGCCTCAGAAATGCCATTAAATACAGAAGTTATTGCCGTCATAAGACTTGCGCATGCAGTTAGTATGCGCATATCCGGCCTCTTGAAACTGGTATAAAAAAGGCTCTTGACATTGCAGTGGCTCATTGAAACTTTCTTTCTACAAAACAGGGAAAAGAGCATCTTGTTCTTAATCTACTCATTTCATTTACCTGACTGCTCAGTGCAGTCAGTCTGGTTAAAGGGGTGGGTGTAGAGTTGGGCTGTTCGAGTGACTTGAGTTGTGTTTTAAATGTAAATAGAGCATACTCCATTTTAAACTAGTAAAGTCACGGACTAGATTAAACCAGTAACTAATCAACAATAGTGACTCTTATTTAGTATCAATTTTGATAATTTAACGTAACAGGAAGATTGGAAAAAGTGCACATGAAACAGTTTGGTCACAAAGTTTGCCTTCTGAAATAGGGAACTAAGTTGCTGTTATCATTCAGGAAGCTTCAGTTCCATTTATCAGTTGCACAGATTACTTTTCAGCAAAGTCATGAGAAGTATGGCCATCTAAATGAGTCAGTCTGATATTTAAGAATAGAAGGTTTCTTCGTCAAGTTGCAGTCTACCCTGGCAGCCATTTGCATTGGAGTTGGATATTCAAGGAAAGTGTTTAATAGAAACTTCCAATAGAGAAGAAATCTTTATGACTGAACAGCCATTGTTGGTTGCTTTTCTGTTGTTTTTTTTCCCTTGAGGAAAATGGCAAGAAGCCTGGGCTGGTAGGGGTGAGGTTGGGCACAAACAAAGTGCTAGCATGTGACAAAGCAGCTTTCAGCAGACAAATTTCTCCATGATTGCTGCTTGGGTTTGCAGGTTCGTGCAGAGCAGTGAGTAAATCCAAACAACGATTAGGTAATTCCAGCAGTTTAATAGTTCCTGTAAATTCTTAGCCTGCATCCAGAACATGAGTTTTAGCTGATGTTGTAACATAGGCTCATAGCTGCAGTTACAGCTGGTTCAAATTAGTTCATACCTCCTCTATGCTTTCATCTGATTTAGATCAGATAGCTGATCCAACTTACTCTTAAGTGTACCTGGACAAACTGCTACCTGTTGCTTGCTACAGGTTGGGTTTTGTTTTGTTTTTTGAAATACTCACAATGCCTTAAGTGTGGCAAACAGAAATGTGTTAGTATGTTCTTTATGGAACACAGTAACACAAGTGGAATGTGGCATAAGGTGTTCCTAATACAAATGTGGAGGTTGTTAGTATGGATGTTGATGAACAGCAGTACTGTCCTACTTTTTCCCTCCTTTCCCAGAAGTTACCACACTTCTTATGATTTTATTGTTGCTGCTGCTTATTTCAAATTGTATTGGCCAAAACCCACAAGTTGTTTTCTGCAGACAGATGTGGTTTCAGTTCAACAGGGCAAAATCTGCTTACAGGCAGATCTTTAAAGCTATATGCTGTATCCTCAAAAGCAAAACAGGAATACCCATGTGCAGCTGAGACTTCTAATGTGGAGCTGTTAAAGTGATAGGGGCTTATCTGGATTCACGTTATAAAACTTGTGTCCATTATTGGCTTTAACAGAGTCCATACATCTGGTAGCTGGAAACTAGCAAAATGTTATTTTTAATAAGTTGATTAAGCAGCCATGACAACAGAGCTTTATTTGGCATAAATAAATGGTTGGAGTGAGGAAAGTAACTATCTGACAGTGGGTTTTATCTTTAAATGCTTCAGGCATAAATCTGTTCAGCTTTTGTTTAGGTTAGCAGTGAAAAGCCTAAAATAACTGATGTGTGAAGTATTCTCAGAACTGTGTTATCTAAGCTGTGCAAAGCGAGACCGTGGAGGGAGAAGTGACCTTTAATTGATTATATGAAGTACGTGGGGGATAAGGAGTTCATAGACACTTTTCTATTCCTTTCTGGTAGGACAGCATGAGATTTAGGAAACGAAGGTCAAGTTATTCAGAGCATTAGAGTTAAAAATAAGGAATGATGCTACTTCAGACTTTGGAAATGCATGTAAAGATGTGTCACTTGAGCATACTGGGCTACCGGCCTTTCTCGAACCATGATTGCAATTGTGCCAGCATAGTGAAAAATTCAGAACAGAAGTAAATGACACTGCAGGTAGAGCTGACTGCATTAGAGGTGCTGTTAGCCCAGGCTAGTGCTGTCCTCTGTCTCAATGAACCTGTGGTCTATTCAGATACTTGAAAATGCCTTTAATCTTTTAACATCTTTTCCATAGATGAGTCAGGTTATATCCTCAAAGCCTCATACGTTTTGGGGTTAGGAATTTACGTTCTGAGGAAATGAGCTTTGCAGATTGCCATTAGCATGGTGCCAGTGAGATTCAGCACTACGACGGCATCGTACAAATACAGGTCTGGAAAGTCAGTTCACAGCTGCTGCTTTAGATCAGTTGATCTACACAGCAAAGTAAAAAATAGGGCACCAGTGTGCTTGTGGGAAGCATTTAGCATAATCGAAAGCATCAGCTCCTCAAGGCTAAGGTTTTTTTAATGTATACCTGCTGCTTTCTGATAGGATGAAATGAAACACAGTAATTTAGTGTGGAAAAAATATACACCTAAACAGCTTCAAACCAGGATGCTGAAACCAGCTCCTGCTTTGACAGAGTTCTAGAAATACACATTTACAGATTTATTAACTGCTATAGATGGGAAATAAACTTGGAAATCGACGGGGATTTTCTCTACACAAATTAGTATAGTAACTCATTAATGAAGATAGGTGACTTGTAAGAAAGAAGATACAATGCGGAAAGTACAAGAAAAAATAGCAATAAATGTAGAGAAAATCTTGGCCATACTGTCTTCCAGGGCCTCTAAAATCAGTATTTTAAAGTGTCTCCTTTCAAATGCAAGTTTTATCTAATTAGTAACCATTACATACACATTGATTTTGCCTGATTTTTCTTGAGACTTCAGGAATTTCTTACAAACACTTATTTTTATATCTATAACTCACATCCTTTCCCCTTTTCTGCGTTCAAATAAGTGTTTCTGCCTTTCCTTCACCTTTCATCCTGGGAATTCTTGAGTCACTCAGCCTCTTGAGTTGCTGCAGCACTGTCTGTGACAGAGTTCTCTTTTAGAGCCAAAGGATAATTATTTTGAAATTCAGAACAGATAAATAATAAATAAATGCTCCCCCACAAATCATCCTATATACATGTTGATCAAAATTGCCATCCCTATCAGACAGATGTTGAGCAGAAGGCTTTCTACTTTGTGAGAAACGAATGAACTAGTTACGGGATAACCAGCCTTTGTGTTTCTTTGCTTCTGTATCCCAAAAGTTCTGTTAGCTCATTTTAGGTTCGCTCATTCACGATGAGATCATAAAGGAGCATCCTCTTAACTTTTAACAGAAGTGATGTCTGCATCTGTAGCAATTAGCAGCATCCCTGGCCACTTGACAAGTGAGGTCACAGAAATAGGTGAGACCACAACCAGCTGTAAAAGTAGATTGGAAGGCAGGGGGAAGGAGACTAAATATTAGAATAGGCACATAAACCTATGGTTCTACATGCACTAGGTTGCATCTACTGCAGTTCTTATTTCTGCTGGGAAAGTTCAGCTTTGGCCTGAGCTGCAAGAGATCTCAAAGTTGAGATGAACTTTTATGCAACATTTTCTAATGACTTGAAGGATTATAAAAAAGGAAATAAAGAAAAAGAAGTTACCTTCTGTGAGGACAGACTGAAAGCTAGGGATGTTCAGCATGGAGAAGGCTTCACACACACCTGAGAGCAGCCTTTCAGTATCAAAAGGGGACTTATAAGAAAGAAGGGGACAGACTCCTCAGCAGGGTCTGCTGTGACAGTACAAGGGGAAATGGCTTTAAAACTAAAGAAGGGGAGATTTAGATTGGATATAAGTGAAAAGCCTTTTTAAGATAAGGGTGCTGAGGCAGTGAATGTAGTTGCCTAGAGATGGGGTGGACGCCCCGTCCTTGGGGACAATAATGATCAGGCTGGATAGGGCTCTGGGTGCCTGATCTAGCTTCAGACATCCCTGTTCATGGCAGGGGAGCTGCACTAGATGGCCTTTAAGGGCCCCTGCCAACTCCATTCTACGATTTATAATCCAGCCCCAAACAACTCCAATAGTAAGAAGAAATTTTCTAGACAGCTGTCCTAGCTGGTTACCTTCATCAATAAATTCTCAAAGGAATATCTAAACCAAAACACACCTGCTGTTTCCAGCTGCTGGGGAATGAGGATTACTCAGATATGACTGGAACTGTCTGAACTCGCCCCATCATAAGTGATTCAGATTACTCCAGGCACCATTACCAAGGAACTGTTGCCTTACAAGTTTCAGTTACCTACTAGGTAACAGGATGGTGTACCTTCCCTTATCCACCAGAAAAGCTAAGTGCAGCACAATAGTTCTCCCACAGCAAGTAAATTTTCTGCCATCCACTTACTTAAAGCTGTTATTTACAATCCGGATATTGAAGCGCTTTCAGGGGCTGGGTTTGTATTTATTTATTCATTCCTTTTGAACAAATGATCATGGTCTGTTTCCACAAATGAAAGTATTTGATTATTTGGCAGCCTCAGTGACTGTACAACATGCTCTGCTGAAGCTGCCCCAAAGATATTAATTGATGGACTCCATAAAGTATTTGGCAAGAGCAAAACAGCTTCACACCAGTTTGAAGTAAACTGGAATTGAATGGAGGAATAAATGGTTCAAAACCTCACTCTTCAACCTGAAGATCAGTCTTCAGAGCAAGATCCAGTCTTAAACACCAAGGTTTAATTTGGCAATAAACTGACAGTTTGGACATTCATTTATTTCCAAGTCATATTTCTGGCCCAGATTTCAACCTTTCTAATAGTAAAATTATGTGTTTATGTTCTCTTCTAAAATTAAACCATTTAAAAACAGAAATAGATCATTTGCTGGCCTAATGTGAAGGGGGAGAAAGAGGCTATTACAGATGGTTGCGATAGCGTGCTATTACTAATGCAGCAACAATGTTTGCCATTTCATAATCATGTAAAACCTATCCATGCTCCAAGGACTATGTACATCAGACAGAAAGTGTCTGATATGAATTACAGGAGGCTGCAATTACCAATAGTGAGATAA